AATGCCAATGTTTAAAAAGGGTCAAATGTTCCTTAGAAACATTACTTCTGAGTTTATAATTTTTTTTTTTTTTCTGCTATAATCACAAAACTTTGCGTTTCTGTAGGTGGTATTTGATCATGATTTAAATGTAAGACCTAGTGCTTCAGATTTGCAGGCCATTACTTTAACCTGGAAACAAGCTGTAAATTCCCACCCTTTTCCATCCTTCCTAAGGTGAGTTTAGGGTCACCTGAAGAGCAACCCTAACTGATGACCTGCAACAAACGGCTGCTCTCTGTACTCCATCCATTTCTGGGTCCAAAAATCTAAAAAATATGATGATATTAAGGAATAACACTGAAAAAACGATCTAGAAATACAAAAAATTTCTTAATAAGTGTATTTACCCTTCATTTGAGCAGATAAATAAGATCATTTGCCAACGGAATGAGTATTTTTACTTTTAAAATAAGATAATTAGATAAGATGCACTTGAAATAAGACAATGCAATGAGCTTCCAAAACGTCAGTAAGGTGAAATATAAGTGAAATAACGTGAGGAGAGTAACATAATGAACACTCCTTTAAATATCCACTCATCCACTTTATTTATTGAGGTTTTGATGTTAGAATCAGTCAGAGCTACTTCATTTTCATCACAAGAATCCTTGGAAATACGCAAAAACAACCAAAAAAAGGCAAAGAATCTTTGACACAAATCAACAACTGCTATTTCCCACCAAATGGCACAAATCCACTGCTTTGACCCAGCAGGTCCTGCAAATTTTTTGAATTGAATTAAAGTATTGTTTCGGTTTGCTAAACTGCTTTTGTTAATCTGAGTGATCCAGCAGAAACGGCGACGGCTCAAACACGGACACTTTTGTTATGATCAGGTGAAGCTGAAGTGTGAAACTGGTTATTGATCCGAGTGATTCGGGTGTCATCAGTTCCTAATAACCATTTCCCAGTACTATTAATTAAACTCTGCCAGTTTTGTAATTTGAGCACAATGTTTTTTGTTTCGTTTTCCGTCCTACAAAAGTAAATACATCACAAATACATCTGCCTGAAGAAAAAAAAGAAAAAACTGCTAGATGCTTTTGATAATATATATAATTCCCAGAGTCCAAGCTATAGTGCAACATACATTCCATCTCAGTTACAGTTCTCTTTTTATCAATGAAATGTGACCTTGACTGATTACAAAACCTTGAAATAGCTCCATTAGGACAACCTTTGTCTCCGATTTAAATATCAGTAGGACCCAGAAATTGCCTGGTCAAGCTTTACCGGGGCCACTCTTCAGGTCAGTCTGAAATGATGCAGATAACCTGAAAACCACAGTTTATTAACCTTTTAGATTCAGTCAGCTGAACTTGAAAAATGTCAATGCTCCATTGACTGAACCTCCGTCATATCAGTGTGTTCTTTAAAGGGTAGGAGCTGCTTCTCAGCTGAACTTGAAGCATGTGTTGCTCTGCAAAATGACCGATACCCTCCTGAACTTTTCCAAGTTTAGTCACAAACCCATGTTTTATAAGAAAAGCATGTGGCAGACCAACACAGAGAAACCCATAATTAAATAAGTGGAATAAAAATGTATCAAGGTTTTTTTTTTTAAAAAAAAAAAAGAAAAAAAGGTTTTCATATTTAGCCAAATAACTTGAAACTAATCTTAGGATAAATTCGGCAGTTCAGTGAAGTTGTCCGATTTGTTTAAAAAAAAAAACACTGGTAAAAAAATTAACCCTATGATGACCATAAACACACATCATATATGCCAGATCAAATTATAAAGGTGTTTGAAAACATAGTTTGTAAAATAATCCAACAAACCCTTGGCCATCCGTTGAAAATAGAAGGCTAGGCGAAGACAAAGTTAATCCTAAATGAAAGAGAACCAAGGGGCCCATGGTAACTCTAGATTAGCCACAGAGACTCACAGCAAAATTATATTTTTTCCAGGATTAGCACTAAACAACACTCCAAATCGGTCCTATGGAAGAGTTTCAAAAAGAAAGATAGGGTTTAAAGAAAACCAATCAAAGTCCTGTTTGCTAACCACCAGAAGCCATGAAACCAAAGCCAAGTGAAAAAAAGGTGATCTACCCAGATAGGAACAACAGCATGCATATTTGCCTTATAGCTAGTTAATGGAGAAAATCAACCCTGAACACACCAGCCAAATGTGGAGGTAGCATCATGCCGTCAGGATGATTTTAATCAGCAGGGGCATAAAAGCTAAACCAAGTTAATTTGAAAGATGGATGGAGCTAAATATCGACGATAAGGAAAAACAAAACCGCCAAAAACTTTAAATTGTGGATGAAAGTTCCCCTTTAATCAGGATGGAAACACTGAGCCTAAGGCCAGTAGCTACAATGAACAAATACAGATTCAAGCATATCCATGCAGGCATCCCCAACCTTGGTCCTCGAGGCCCACTGTCCTGCAGGTTTTAGAGGTTTCCCTGCTTTAGCACAGCTGATTATAATGATTGCAGTAGACCAAAAGCCTGTTAATCAGCCTTCAATTAAAACCAGCTGTGCTGGAGCAAGGAAACCCTTTAAAACCTGCAGGACAGCGGCCTCGAGGACCGAGATTGGGGATGCCTGCGTTAGAGGACCCAGTTCAAATTCAGACTAAAATCCTGTTCAGTTTGCTAAAACACTGGTCCCTAGAAGTCCTGCTATTGACACAAGGTGGCTAAAACAAACATCTAAATATTATGCATTCAATTGTAAAACATCTAAGAAATCATCGATCAACAACTACACCCCCCACCCCCCCAAAAAAGCCTAGAATATTGGTAACATGTAAATAATTTCCTTTAGATTAAGGTAATTGCAATAGAACAAAGGGAAATAAATGCATGATGGAAAATTGACTTTGAATAACAGCATAAGGCCAAATGGTTTGATCTTATGATCAAACTAAGGCAGCTGGTAGCACAGCACATTAGACTAGACCATGATATGACCTAACAGCAAGGATAGCCTCCTCATGCTAATAGCTTACAGAAGATGCCTCGATCATCTATAGAAGCCTAGAAAAAAAGCAATTTTCACACACCAGGTGTCCCAGCAGTTCAGCCTTTTTAATTTAAATTATATCTGCTGGTCAGAGGTTTCTTCTGTCAAAGTCGAAATAAGTTCTGAACAGGTGAATGATCTCTGAGCTACCACATGGGATCCTGTCAACCAGGTAAAAGCTCTTTATGAGGTTTATTCTCGTTAGCTGTAATTAATCAAAGGTGATGTTGTACTGCTGAACCCTCCCAGCCCCCAACCAATTAGCCACCACAGGCCCTCTGAAGAGTGGATGAAAGCAGAAAGTTGAACAGAGCTCTAATAGAAGCTGTTCATGCTGACTTGGAAAAAAGAAATCCCTCTACAATCTTTTCAGGGCTTAAATAAACCCCACAAAGACAGATGTTTTAGATTTCCCCTTTAAAAACTCGTTCAATCCAAACAAGTGGGAGCAGAGACAAATGATCCTCTTGTGCCCTTTTAGAAATGCTGAATATTTTCTCCTTCAGGTTGTGTTAGGCAAAGTAAATGCACACTTGATTGATAGAGGAAGCTGAAAACAATCTCCTCCCAGTTAATACTAAATTATTGTGCTCATACTCCAGCTGAATTGTTTTGCCCCTAGGGACTACTAGACTGTAACCTGAAACGGAGCAATAAAGAAGGCTGGAGTTGCTGCACAAACAGCTGACTCAGCCACCTGGAAGCCAAATATCTCTGGTTTGCTGATTTCAGTAGTGCTCCACCCTGACCCAAAACAACACTGATTTATACCCCGTTTACATGGTTTAAACAACCTAAACAAACCTGAGTAGCATGCAGCCCAGGCCCGGGAGTTAAGGGGGGACTATAGAGGCTGTTTTACACGGGAGATCATTGAACACGTCAGCAAACTTACTTTAAATATATAAGGTGAAAGAAACAGTTTTAAGTCAATTGGTGTTTTCATCTGTGAAGATACATCAGGGTGATTTGTTCTAACATTGCTATCAAACCAATAGAGTCAAAAACCTGCCGCACATTGAATTACCATAATATACAAAGTAATGTCAAGCACTGTTCATAAACTGAGTCTATTTATTTGGTTGATTTGGTATCGATGATGGAGTGGATACTGATAAGATCAGAGATAAGCTGGTTGTGAATACTTTTTAAATTTGTGCTTTAAAACAGCGGTAAGAGAAAATAACATGATTTAGTTCTTCATGCACTGCAGAATCCCAACAAAACAAAACTCAGAATATGGTTATATTCCTGCAGCAGTGTGTCGCAGTGAGCTTGACGCAGACATTTTTGATTTATGCTCAATATGGAAGCATGGTCTATACGCTGTGGGTCTAGATGCGGCCGAGGCAGTGAGGAAGTGGGGGCGAGTGTAGTCGGACAACGGAGGGACATGACGGCGTAAAAGAGCGGGAATCCAGGTGGAAAAAGGGTCCCAGCGTTCTCGCGCACCTCGATCTTCTAGCTGGTCAAACTTCACGAGTTGTTCCGCAATTTTGGTCATAAAAACAAAACAAGCCGGCCTCCTGTCTGTGGTCAGTTTCAATTTGGCAGAGTTGCAGCGGAGGGTCTGCGGAGGGGGCGGGGACGTCTTTTTGTTCACTGCAACACCTACCTACGCAGTGGACCTGGTTTCGAAGTATAAATCAGCCTTAAGTATTCAGTAGTGGAGAAGTTTAGAAACCCATTACCTGATCAATGAGCCTGATCTCTGGCTGAGCCAAAGCAGCTCTAACAGTGGCCATTATTAAGCCCTTAAACCACTTTGGTAGAAAAACTCAACTTAAATGTATTTTTCCTTAGCAAATATCTCTTTGTTTTTTTTTTTTTACACATTACGAACAGAGTGGTTTCAAAACCACTCTTTGCCTACGTTTTACTCCTTTCCAACGCTAAAGAGTAGTGAAATGACCAAATAAGTAATCTATTGTCTATAAAAATCCCATCCAAGCATCGTACAACAAGCACCTCATGCTGACCCACCTGTGACGAGCTCCCGAACTTCTGCATCGACGGTCTTTCTCAGCAGGCGTAGGAGAGCGGGGATCCCTCCCGCGTTCCTGACGGCGATCTTGTTTTCATCGACAGCTTTTCCATAAACAAGGTTCCTCACAGCCCCACAAGAGTTTCTTTGAACCTCGACGGCTTTATGGTCGAGCAGGTCCACCAGATGCTTGATTCCTCCCAGTCGGCATACCTGGAGAAGAGGTAAATAAGGTCAGGGGTGGATTTTACACAAGGAATTATTTAACTTTGGGTTTTTTTTTTCTTGCTTGGCTGTATTCTGAGATAACAAAATCATGAATTTATTCATGTGACAAGAGAGTCAGAGGCAGGGAATTTATTCATACCGAACCCAAATTATCTGGAAAAACTAATGCTGGTTGGAATGAAAGCTTTAACCACAGGAGATCACAGGTGGAAGAAAAACATTTCTTCTATGCTCAGAAACAAAGGTAGAAAAGAAACACCTATGAAAACCACAGCTTTGAATCAGATATCACACATGTCATATATCTTTTCATTAGAATAAATTATGCCAGATAAGGAGTAAATAAAAGATGAATAAACCCCAAGAGATGCTTTTGAATCTGTTCAACAGAGAAGAATGGCGCTTGCATACGAGCCAAGTTGTTTAATCCAAATCCTGAATTCAATTATAGTAAATTATTTAGCACTGAACAGAAAGTTTATGGCAGAGCTCTGGCCCATGCTCAGGGAAAAAAAGGGAAAAGTGTTCAGTTTGGTTTGAGATATGCATCAAGAGAACAGAAAACTGTTGCAAAAATATAACAGAAATACGTTTAAGTTTACACTTTTTCCTCTTTACTATACAGTTGTTTTCTCTTGCTGTGAAAGTCTTATGCATGTAACAGTGAAATAAAAATCAATGTAATTTAAATGTTTAATTACCTTAATATAAAACTTGCATTGATTAAACTGGTACAAATTAAAACAACATAATATGAATACTTGTCAAAGTTTCCTTGTTATGGAGAATCAAGCTTTATGAGATTCGATACAGGATCACTAATGTGTCACCCACCTCACTTTTGACTCTATTATCACCGTAGCACAGGTGCTGCAGGTAGGCGGCTGCGTTGGCCTGCACTGAGGGGAAGTGATGCTGCAGCATGTGGATTACCTCCGTTAGCTCCGGATCACGCCATGCAAACTCTCTGGAAGCACAGAAGAGGTCAAAACAAATCAGCATAACGGCAGGTGCTAAGTAAAGGAAAAAATTACCAAAAAACCACACATTACCTTCACTTGTTTTGTTCTTTTTTTTCCATTCATTTTATTTTTCTTTCCATTTTATATAAGTTCATTAAATTAACAAATTATAAGAAAGCCATAGAAAAGAATAAGAGCTACATTTTGTGTAATTTCCTACATTTACTTATACTTAGGGTTTGAATAACTATATTGATGACAAATGGCAGTCAGTAATTAGTCAGTAATCCAAGATATCAGACTGTTTATTTATTCCAGTGTTCCATCAAAGCATAGAGGCGATTGGTCTGTGGTCTGTGAGGCGTTAATGAAGCCCACGGCATCATTTGGTTCTGGTATCTCTAAACTTCCTCTTGACGTTATTTGATTGCAAAATGAAATAACATCCTTAAAGCTGGTCAGCAGATGGAAGAATTAGGTGCTCAAAGAGTTAGAGGGCTGGACTGACTTTTAATAAACAGCAGATTCAAGTCTTCTAAAATCATCAGCCTGTGCAAACACTACTTCATTATGTTTGCATGACATGTTTTTATTACGATCTGATATTCTGATAGCTTGTGTCTATATAATTGGAACAATCTGAACACATTTCTATCAGATCCTGAAATTCTGTGCACATAAACATAACTATAGACTCTGTGCTGGATAGCTGTCAAGCTAGAAGTCTCCACAATAAGTTAGATTAAATCCCTTTGCTTCATAAAAAAATGTTTTTCCAATAATAATTTGATTTATTGAGATTCAACTTCAATTAATCCCAATTTTTTCTGCAGCTGAGAGTTTGCACAGTGCACCAAGGGAAGAACTGAAAGATTCAAATACTCCCAAATCAACTGCAAAGTGCATACTGAATTACAGAGTTGATTTCTTGGCACCACTCAGTGTGAATTACACAAAGTAGGTCTAAAATCTGCCAACATTAACTTGTCTTTATAAACCTGAAATCAGGAAAGAAATCCTAGACCAGACTTGACCTGGTGAACTTCCCGAGCAGCCGCCCCTGGAGTGCTCCACCTTTAAAGAGTTACAGTACACTGAAAATGTAAACAAAGCCTCTAACTGCAGGGTCAGGCTTTTACCAAAAGTTGTCAATCCATGGTTTACACATCCACACGTCCGTACAAGAGCAGACGCAGCACTTCGGTGCCTGTGAGAATCTATTGTGAGGCGACCAGACACAGTTGAGCCGGCTTAATGGAAGAGCCTTGTGTGGCTATCCAGGGGGAACTATGTGTTTGAATAGTAAGAGGACACTGGTGTTGACCCAGCAGAACGGGGATGCCTTCTTAGCACAAGCTTCTCTGGATTACTTTTATATGCACAACTAGTAACCACAGAGTATATATGAAAACATGAGGGTCCATACCTGGGATCCTTTTGAATGCTGTCTATGGAAGGAGAGCGAGGGGCGCCGTCATCCATGGGCAGAGTTTGTCGAGCGTAACTCATATCGGAGGGCCGGTACTGTGCGGAGCGGTATGGATCAGCATAGTTGGCTGCTGTGTTAAGAGCATAGTTGTTTCTTTGGTAAGTCATGGCACTGCGCTGGCTGGACGTCCTCTGCAGGCTTCCCACACCTGAAACACCAAAAACATGGAGGGGATTTAAGCTCACTCATGAAACCATACGCAAGTAAGCAAAGCGATGCCAGACTAAGAGTTCTGACCTTTTCAGCTAAACTGAGAGCTTTGTGCTCATGTTAGCTTAGAGGGTTTAACACAAAGCTGAAAACACAAACATGCTGCTGCTCTTACAGACTCTGCAAATTCTCAAATCTGGATCCAATTAATGATGAGGATAAAACACAGCTCCTGTGGTTGCAGAAAGTTGAGCCACTCTCCTTCAAAGGCTTCTTTAGGTTTACTAGGTTGTACGTAGCTCGGGGGGTCCTGCTTGTATTCAGAGAGCACAGAAGGACCCAACCTGCAAGATAGTCCGCCAAATTCTTTCTTCACAGCCTTCTTGATCCTACCCGTCCCTGAAATTTTGTATTCCACTAAAAAAACACCTGTAAACACTTACAAAAAGGATTAAAATGTCAGAAAATAAACCATCAAGGCTAGAAAAAGACGCACAGAAAGCCTGTTGGTATCTCCGTTTAGTCATCTTTCTTCTTTTCATTTGCTCCATGTGATATTGTAGCATTATGAGCCATTTTAAAACTGCATAAACAGACTGGGTAAGATTTAGCCCTCCTTCTAACTGAAGCCACGTGATCTGTAACAGCATGCATGCTGCTCTGGTCAGATCTGTATCAGCAAACCCCACAGAACTGGGCACGAGTGTCCAAACTCCCTCCTACCAGGAACCAAGACGTCAACTCGTGGTGTTACTCCAAAAACCCAATTTCTCGCTTCAGCGCACCTCTATGTTAGGCACCAACTCAAGCCAGCAAAGAGTCCACCTCCCAAAATAAAACCTTGCAGGAACAAAGGAAGAATGGGTCAAAACAACATAGTATAGCTTTTGGATTTATTTTTTGCTAAAACTACAGTGGAATCTCAATAAATTAGATTGAAATTTAATTCAGAAACTCAATTAAAACTCATATTTATCTAGATTTATTATACATAGAGTGATGCAAAGGTGATACCAAGCGTTTTTTCTCCTCAGCCTGACAATAATTAAACAAAACTATTGCTGTTTCTTTCAGTATTACTGTTTTTCGAAGCTATTTGGAGTTTAATTAGGCACATTTAAAAAAAAAAAAAGCTAAAGAAATCAAGCAAGACATCAGGAGGAGAACAGTGAGCCCCCAAACTCTGATTTATCATTGGGTATAAAATCCAAACCCCTTAAGATGCAATGTCTATCTGTTATGTGCAAACCTATAAGTAACATTAGGAAGTAAGTAAGCTTAACCCTTTTTCAACCAATGCATGTTTCCTACAGAATGTGCAAATTAGTCGAAAAACATAAAGAAAACAGACCTTGTGAGAATTAAAGCTGTCCAGATGTATCCTGTATACATATGGACAAACAAGCCACTCAAAGTGGAAGAACATAAAAGCCAAATAACAGTTTGGGATACACTCGGGGTACAAATCTATAGTTTTTTAAGAGTTTTTGAGAATTTATATGACACATAATACATTTCAACAGGTGGACATATTGGAGAAATGTCACTAGTTTCATGCAAGTAAATCCATCCATCCATTATCTGACACACTTGTCCCAAGTGGGACAGCAAGGTGTGCTGGTGCCTATCTCCAGCAGTCAATGGGTGAGAGGCGGGGTTCACCTTGGACAGGTCTCCAGTCCATCGCAGGGACAAACAGGACAAACAACCACAATCACACCTTAGTCAATTAATGTTTTTGGACTGTGGGAGGAAGCCGGAGTACCCATGCATGCTCAGGGAGAACATGCAAACTCCATGCAGAAAGACTCTGGGAATCGAACCCATAACTTTCTTGCTGCAAGGCAGCAGTGCTACCCACTACGCCACTGAACTGCCCTGCAAGTAAATCAAAGGAGCAAAAATTGACATTTTATCCAAACTATAGGCTTAAAGATTAAAAAAACTTGTTAAATTGTGACAAAATGAAAAAAATGGTTTATTTAATGGAAAATCAATGAGGAAGCCTTGAATCCAGTCTAATAGCAACATTTATGGTGTAAAAGGAGTGTGGAAGGAAGGTTCTACAAACACAGCCAGTCGAGTGGAAAAGAGTAATTTAAAATGTGTTAAAAATTGTGCAAATTAAAATCATCTAGGTAGAATGACTTTGGGGAGACACTACTTGTAGCACCAGAGATCTGAGGTGAGTTTGGACTAATCCTTACTTTCAGCTGTGAAATGAAGAGTCTTTTCATATAGAAACTGCTTCCATCGGTTTCAAATGTAAATCTGGTATCTTTTGCTGTTTTTTGGGGGTCACTGTCATGTTGTAGGGTCCAGTTTTGCTTCACCTTCACCTTTCACTCGCTGAAGTAAAGCATCCGCCACACAAAGCAACAAAACACTTCCTGCTTAATGAGGAACGGCTGAAACCAGGTTCTTTTCCTGGATTATTGTATGTAGCCAAACATGTCCTCTGTTCTGGTGACTTGATACGTAAATATAAAACTCATTGTCATGCAAATAGATCTATTTCAATAGGTCAACTTTTTTTCCCTGTTTTGTTTAAACAACTTACAACAGTAAGAAAACAACTTACTGTTTGAACTTTAATTTTAGTGGACCCTGCTCTTAACATTTGCAGCCTAGAATTAATGTCTCCCATTAAAAAACAATCTTGCTCCAACTTACACAATGTCAGTAAATGCTTCTGGCATCAGCCAAAGAGGCATGAAAAAAACCAATGCAGAGTAAATGAAATATAATGTTGAAATTATAAAAAAGAAGAAACCTTCCTCATCAAATTGGATTTTTCAAATGGAGCAGCTCATGCAAAGACCGTGTATCGAACCCCCCCTTCAGCTCAGCTCACTCGATTTTTTTCATCATCTCAAGAAAAACGGAAAGTGGATTGTTTTTTTTTAGCAAGTTCTATAAATCAATAGCATTTATTAGTGGGTCTATTTCTCAGAGCAGATCTTTGGTGCCCCAGGTGAGTCTGAATGTGGGAATTGTTTTTGCATTTGTAATTTAGATAAGGAAGAGATTAGCTTTAGAGAAAAGGTAGCGGATGTAGGTAAACCAAAAGTCCCCTGATTCTGTCCTCAGAGTGACACAGAGGTAATGGATTCCTTTGAGGCAGAGTGACACATCAGAACCTGCCTATTAACTCATGTCTCACCCTGTTCTGTCAGACAGTGGAGGGAGAAAAGGAGCGTGAGGCAGAGTCGTTTGCAAAATAGAAGGAAGATATTTGAAGACAGGAAAGCAACAAATATAATGTAGACGGAGATAAAGGGCAGAAAGGGTCTGTTCCTTAAGGGTGACAAAATAGGAGGGTCAGGGACACTAATTATTGGTTAATACTGGCAGGTAAAGAGAGCAGCAGCACCTGGTGAGAAAAAATAAATGTTTGGTGTAAACAAAATGATATCACCCTAAATGCATTCAGGACTTCTCATGACTCTCAGACAAAAAAGGGGAGCATATTTACTACCTGGTATATTTGAACAATCACAGAAAGCTAAGATGGTGTGGCACAACCTTTAGATGGAAGACTAACTGTCATTTTCCAATGTTATATTAATGATTAGAAAAAGATTCATTATCCAACTGAGCTAGTTTGTTTCTATTGAACATGGGTGTTGCACTGCAGAGCAGGACAATATAGAATATTGTGACTTTTATAACAACAGCAGCGAGCAGTACTGTAAAAAATAAAGGACATTTTATTTAAATATGTAGCTTTTTTATTAGAAGTGTCACACATTCAAACCCTGCTAAGGCTGGGTAACCATTCTGATTTAAACAATTGATTCTGATTTTTGAGCATTAGAATTGAATCTTTACGTTCCAGATCAATCCCAAACTCGACTGTTGATATTAAAAACGTTTTTTTAGTTGTTATCTGAATTACGTGTCTGTGTAGCTGCAATACATTTATACCAGAATTATATAGATATTCAACAAAAAATGATTAAAGCAACAGTAGTTAATGGTGGCTGTAGTGACAGAAGAGTATGCATAAAAAAAGATCTTTGGGTATATATATATCTATATATATATCTATATCTATATATAGATATATATATATATACAGTTTAATACAACTAAAAGAAATAGACCATGACCTGGATGACTGACAATCTTCACAGACGTAAAAAGATAAAGATAAATAAATAAATAATAATATGGCTTAATATGAATTCAATTAACTGTGAAGCTGAATTTGTAAAAACGTTTATCATAATTTAAAGCAAAATACTAGAGATGAGTAAAAGACAAGGTTGGTTAACTGCAATAAATATAGTAATTACTGAGTATTATCAAACCCAATGGCATTTGATAATGAATCAGTATGACAGCTCAGGTATCCAGCTGAGCAGAGCTGCACATTAATAACTACGATGTCAGATTCATAGCCTCGGTTCTGTCTATAATCTACTTTGCCCTTTTTAAGGTTACCGGGTCAAAATATAGAATGCTAAATCTAATTAGAGTGTAAGTTCATCAACCTCATGAAGTTTGACCAACCTGAGCCGCTCCTGTAAAGGGTTCCCTGCTGGGTGTGGCTGGGGCTTCGGTATAACGGACCCCGGAACGTCCTATCCTCATATATGGGAGCAATGTGGCGGTCTGGGGAGATTGTTGACCTCATATCCTGTCCATGGTGGCTGTGCTGACTGGCATATGAACTCCTTATTCCTGCAGAAGGAAGACAATTGTTAGCAGGTGAAATAGCTGAATTTAGGAGTATGGGGTGATTATAGCCTCCATGGGATCATCTGACTGATCAATGTAGAACATGTTTCACGGGATCTTTTTACCCTCCACCTCTTTCCAATGATGGAGGGTATTTCCAGGGGGAATTTTAGGTGTTCTGGCTCAAACTCTACACTGAGCAGATATATCTGCCACACTTACATATTTCTTCTTTTCACAACTAAATATTTGAGATTATCACTAAGAATTTGTACATGATGATTTTTTTTTTGCTACAAAAAAAAAAGCACAAACAGGAGAAATCTCAAATAATGCAAATACTTTTTCACAGCCATGTATAAACTTTAGAGCAGGTGACCCTGAAACAAACAGACAGGAAATGAGTTTGTGGTAAAAACTGATTTCTGACAAAGGACCAGAACTCACATTACAAAAAAATAGCAAATGAAAAAAAGATAAGAAGAGACACAGCAAACACATGTATAGCTTCACTAAACATCCTTTTCATACACATACAGTAGATGCTTGAGCAGAACCACAACTGCTGCTACTAAAAAAAAACATGAATGAAGCAAAACTTAATGACTAAACCAAATAATTTGAGGCCTATTTTAGACTTGATTCGACCTACAACTCTGTTCTTTCAGCCTGCAGAGCAGCAGTGTGCACGGATATGTAGGTGAAGGACAGTGCTGCATGTGCTCTGTGCTGCAGGAGAAAACTGGGATCACTGCACCTCTTTTCTGCCATCATGTTAAAGAATATAAGTCCTAAAGGATTTCTATGAGAAAAATAAAAAAATAAAAGTAAAACCTCACTTTACCTCATCTGGATTTATACATGACAAACAAAAAAACAGTACATCTATTCTTACTCCAACAAGCAGTAAAACCCTGATTCCACTTCAAGGCTAAGCTGAGCCAGCAGAGAGCTGCAGAAACATCCCAGTTATTCAGACTCCATAAGCTTGGACAAGTGATGAGAAGTCGGTATTAGAGTTTCTGTCGGGCCATCGAGATGCTTGATTATATCATACTGAAACACACCAAAATGCTGTTTAGAACAAGATTTGTTTTTCTTAAGAGAAACAATGAAAATTCATACTGTTAAATTATGGAGAGGCCATAAATGTTTAAAGCTTTAGGGCTTCTACTCCATGCTGAGGGAAAAAATGAAAAACACACAGCAGATCTGAAATGTAGAAGAGAGAGTGGCCATAAAGACGGCGTTTAGCTTTTCTGTGTTTAAATCCAAATAGGCCCACCCAATGCAATTGATCTTAATGCCTGTTTGTTTTTGTAAGGCTCACATGGATGGAGCTCATAAATCTGTGAACCCCCGTGGACCACTACACAGTTGGCAACTTACTGCTCGTTGCACATATCGAGAGCCCGCAGACGTCACTTGGGTCCTCTCTAACAGCATGAGCTCAGCTGCAGACTGTAACTAAACACCAAGGCTACCATGCAGAACCAGCTAAATGAGGGAGTCCTGTCACAATATAGAACTAACAAATTAACAAATAGGGATGTTTGCTTCCTTGTGGACTGGAGAGTCTTGGGGGATGAAGAGAAAAAGTTTTTACTTGAAAGGAACAGACCATTTTGATGGTGACCTCTAAATAACAACAATGTGGCTCTACAGGGAGCTTGGGAAATTTGCTGAAAGGATGATTTCTGTTTAAACAAAAGGATACAGCCTCATTTGTCTTTACTAATAATGGTTAAAATGGTAATTGGGGTCTTAATTCTGAGCTGGGATGGAAATGACAGAGAATTTCAGTTTTGAATTCAAGGATATGTGTTTATATCTAAGCAGAATCTCTGATGCTTCCACAAAAATGGACTTTAAAGGTGGAATGTAGTGATACAGCTGACAGTATTGTGGTTTTAGAGGATGGATCTGCTGGTGTATCCTCTACAGAAGCTCCAGGACTAATGTCTTGGGTGTGGCTGTATCGGTGTGCTGCAGGCACACAACTTCCTCTATCTTAAAATCTAATACTGCAAACTCTTTTCCTTTGTCTCACCTCCAACCCGGACTTACCCGGTAAGGTATTACAGAAAGAGTCGAAGATGTATGTTGAGAGTTTTGGCCTAGTTTTTTAAAGCAGTTGTGATCTAAGGAGGTTGCAAGTACCCGGTTCGATCCCCACAGCCTGCACTCTGGGTCCCTGAGCAAGACCCCTAACCCCACACTGCTTCCCAGGCGCCACACAATAGCAGCCCACTGCTCCCCAAGGGGATGGGTTAAATGCAGAGAGTGAATTTTGTTGCTTTGTACTTGACAATGTAATGACCATAAACTTGAATTCTATTCTTTTCTCCTTCTTCTATGTACTTCTGGCATACCTTAGTAAGTGTGGGGCCATTTGACACACTGTGACGCTTTTATCCTCATAAACCAGCCAACCTATTCACCCTCAAAAAGGTATTTTCTTTCACATACACAACACTGCAATTAGATCCTAGTAAAAGGGGCTAACATTGCTTTCTTTAACACACACAAGAAAAAAATGACGGCACTAATCATTTAAAATCCTGTGATAAAAACAAACAAATTAAACTGTCTGTTAAATGACAGATCTAATAAAAGATGCCTTTATGTTAAATAGAATTTGCAATATTGTTCTAGAGTAAAACAGGTAACTAAGAGGATTGATGTTAGAACAAATCTGTTTTAAAAAAACTGGTTTTAAGCAATCGTGCTTGTGATACTCTTGATAGATCTATAGAAAATATTATTATTTACTGACTTCTTTTATCCTAAATTCCTTCTCCTTCTGTAGTGGTTACACTTACAGATGAGACAAAGTTAAAAAAACTCCATGTACCAATTAAAAAATCTTTTTTTTTTATCTTTATCATGACTTGAAATGTACTTTTCAGTACTTCTTTAAAACATGATAATACATTCTATTGCAAAATATTTCACCGGTTAACACATTTTATGGATCCCCAGATTTTATGGATAACGGAAAAAACAAATCTAATACAACTTTGTACGTATACAATTTGGTTCCTTTTACTTTAATCTCTTACCCCACATATAAAGATTAAGAGTTGCTTAGAATAAAGTTTTTATTTTTCTTCAATAGTCAAGCAAACCTTCAATATTCATTATATGCAAAAGCAGCAGGTTGGCAGGAAATCAGCAGCTAAGTTGTTTAGAGGTTTATAGTAGAGCAGTAGGTGGGGGTAAAGACATTAGAGAAGGTGGGAGAATTAAAAAGAAGAGCAGAGAAAAAGGGAAAATGGGCTAGATGGGGGGAGGGGTGGGCACAAAATAAAAGAAATGTTAATGAGGTCGTTTAGGGCCACCTGAAAGTTCTTATTTGCCGCATAAATCCCATTCGGGAGTGAGATCCTGGAGTAAAAACACGTTCAGATGTGGATTTTGACTTGTTGTCAAACCATCATCATCATCTTCATCATCATCCAGGGTGTCACTATAGCTTTATATGAAAGAAAAGCTGTGAGTCCATCACTAGGATGGCTTCACTTCATGTACAATAAATTAAAAATGATAAACAGATTGAAGGCAGGTCTAAATTAAAACCAAAGCTCCAAAGCTAATACAATCAGTGTATGGTTCGTTCTTTGGTTTTTTCGTTTCAAAACAAAAACGAAAAAACAAAACAAGCACGTGGTTTTTCTGTTTTTCCGTTTTTAAAACCTAAATCGAAAAAATGAAAAATCGAATTAATAGAAAATCAACAGCGTTTGAGTTTTGTTTTGCCATTTAAATGAAAATAAAATACGGTTGTTGTTTTAATACGTAGCGGTTCTTGAAATGAAGTAAGTCGCCAAAGAAGAATCATTTACAGTGGATGAAGACGGCATCAAAACAAACCATTTCTAAACAAAAGGCAATGGCTGCACTTGAACTGTTTTCTGCATTGATTATTGAACTTTTTGAGAGAGGAAAAACACACTCTGAAATCACTGATGCTGCGAGCCGCCATGGAGCTCGACATTGCGCTGATTCCCTCTAAATAACACAAACGTTTCCATTTTGGTAGTGCTAAATGAAGAAGTTATTCTTCTTGTGGATTGTAATGGCGGTTGGCAAGAAATTGAAGGCGTACATTACCGCCCCCTACTGGTAACTAAAAAAAACTATGTGTTGGGAGTTCAGGTCTTCATTTCCGGTTCTGCCATAAGGTCCCGTTAAATTAACAACAAAATAAAAGTTTGTCTTTGGTTTAACCATTGCAGTTAAAAAAATCCCAAAACGTACCTATTTTTCATTTTAGCAAATGCTGTTTTTCTAATTTCGTTTTAAAAACGGAAAAGCGAAAAACCCCATGCTTGTTTTGTTTTTTCGTTTTTGTTTTGAAACGGAACAAAAAAACAACAAAGAACGAACCATGCACGGATTTAATACGATGCCATGTTCCAATAATTTGCTATCCTTATAAATGCACACAAAGGTATCAGTCATTTCAATCTTTTAACACTGCAAACGCTTTGTGGTCCTGACTGATGTGACAAAATACTCTTGTAGATAAAAAAAAGCTGATGGTAGATGTGATGGTTGTGAGAATGATCAGTGTAAAAGCTTTAGCGTGCTTCTTTGAAACTCAGTTAACACGCAGCTCTTCTGGTTCACAAATAATTCATTTCTTTCCTCATATCCCTCCTGTTACATAACCCATCGTACCGAGATGTGGGTAAAACAAACCTGACTGAGATAGAAATTAAATATGTCTTTTTCTATTTAATGAAATAGTTCAGGTTCATTAATATTCACTGTGGCTCACAAAGTTTGAAGAAAGTATTTTTACTGAAACAGTGGAGAAAAAATTAGTTTGAACAGACAAGATAATAACTAATTAAATTTGTAATGTAAAGATCAATATTTGATCACAGAAAATGCAACAAAGAAACCGACGGATTTATAAAAGTTAAGTTATACCTGCTGTATGGTTCAACAATGTATGTCAGAGGGGAACTGATTAGCTTAAGAGTAGAAACCTTATTTTATGGTTTCTAGCCATTTGTTTACCTAGGAAAAAACGACTTTAAAATGCAACTAAAACACAACTTTCATCTGATCTTAGGAAGCAGATGGAGAAGTAGGTCCAACTGACTGATAACTCAGGCTTTTGGAACACCGGTTAACAACAAAGGAGGATATTTTCCATCATCTGAACCTCCATGTCTATCTCTCTCTCTCTCCTTCAGCAGTCACATTTAAATGGTCCATCATAAAGACTTGCCACTGTGCCTTATTTGCTGTATTCCCCAGATAGTAGGACTGCAGTCACTTCTAAAAGCATCTGCAAATTCTCAGGGAGAAATAACATTCGGCTGTCTGTTGAGGATGAATGGCCCACATTCCTTTTGTGTTATACTCATTTAATTCCCCCCCCCCTCAGCCCTCTCATCGTGGCGTTAACAGATTGCACTTGGCAGAGGCTGGATGAAAGGTGGTGGCTTGCTTTTGGAGAAACAGATACAGCTGGATTCATTTCTTAAATATGATATTCACAAATCCTGTCAGACCAGCGAATAAAAGGGAAAGGATTACCAAAATATAACTACACACAAAAAAGTAACCATAGTAGCAATAATAGGATGCAGGATGGTCAAAACTTCAAAGGCAGCTTGGCTTGTCAGAATGAGAGCAGGTATGCTATTTCCTCTTTCACTCCGTCCCTTTTTGCTCTCCGATGGACAGAATGTAATGAGCACATTATTAGGGACAATTTGTCTTCATTTTCTATTCTTTAGCAGCAAAGGGAAGCCATGACATCCTGCCAGTGACTGTGCAGGCGGTGGGACCAGGTGGGTGGTAGGAAAAAAAAAAAACAGAAACGTGAAGTGAAAGGGTAGAAAATAGGAAGAAAAAGTCAACTTTTTTTGAAACCTATAATTCAGGAAATAATTGAATGAGTGATTAAACTAAAAATTAGACCATGAAATAATGAAAAACAACATTTTTAGGAAAAGAATATTTAGGTTCAGGTTGATTTGTGGTATTTTCTCAAATATGTGCAACTCGTTCTCACTGTGCGATCTCCACTTCCAATTAATATGGCTCATCAGACAGGGGTGACAAATTACTGTAATAAAGGCAAACTGCAGAGGGTGTGTTTACGTGAAACAAAAAAGATGAAATAAAATAGGAGCTGAAGTGAGGTAAAAAAGAGAAAACATGAGAAGTGGAAGGAGGAAGGCATAAAATGCATGTTTGGTTAGAAGAGCTGAGACTGACTTCCATATTTTTTCTCTGCAGGCTGTACCATCCGTCATTGTGGCTGTTACTCTGGACTCCATTTTCCGGGTACAAAGAAAACTTTTAAACTAATATAACTAGTAAGATTAAATTTTCAAAAATAATCAAACTAAGAAAAGTAACAACAGTTTACTCTACAATCACCTGGCTTATCACCTGACTGAGATATTTAAAATCAAGTTAAAACACAATGCAGAGAAAAAAAAAGTTAAAAATCCTATAAAGGAAAAAGCCGTTCAGCTATCAATAGTAAAATCAGCAGGAGTATATATAAAGGTCTTTCTAAAAAACAAACTAAAAAAAAAACAAAACAAAACTGAAATTTTAGTTTCATTAGCAGTAACTTGTTACCATCCAGATAAACACCTGAAATGTGAGGAATGAACCTCAGCATCACTGGTTTTACTGAAACAAATTGCATATTGTTATATGAAATTTCTTTCTCTCCATAAATCATCCCTCAATCCATCCCACCCTCACTCCGTCCGTCCCTCCATCCATCTATTAATCCGTCCTTTCATCCCTCCATTCATTCATCCACCCATCCATCCCTCCCTCCATCCATCCTTCCATCAGCCTCCCCTCCATTCATCCATCTGTCCGTCCATCCATCCCTCCCTCCATTTATCCGTCAGTCCCTCCTTCTCTCCATCCATCCGTTCCTTCATCCTTCTCTCCATCCATCCGTTCCTTCATCCATCCCTCCATCCATCTATCCATCCCTCCCTCCCTCCATCCGTTCATCCATCCATCCCTCCATCCATCCATCCCTCCATTCATCCATCTGTCTGTCTGTCCGTCCGTCCATCCCTCCCTCGCTTCATCCATCCCTCCTTAATCTAACCAATACCAGCCCTGCGGTCCAGATTAAACACTGAGCGCAGATGTAGTCCAGCGGATTGCTGATATTAATAGTTACTGACATACACAGCATCCACTGAGGTTCACATCTAGACCGATCAGGGATGAAAGCACCAGTGGAAGCAAAGCTAACACTTAAACGAAGGACACATGAAAATGAGAAATGCATCAGAATAAAGATTTCACCTTTAATATCACCATCAATGAGGGCATCTGAGGAAATCCCAGGCAGCATGGGGTTGAGAAGGAAAAAGAAATTATTGGACAAAGAGTTGATCTGATGAGAGGGAGCTTAGTTGAAAAAATAAATCCTATATTGTCATACCCTATAGTGTCATGGCATTATATTTATGAGGATTGTATTTTAATAATCTTTCCTCAGCATGCAACTGTACTAGGGAAGTTTGGATTATTTGAAAATGTTATGTAATAAACACTGTTTATCAGCTGAGCCTCTCTGAACATGAGATGCGTCAGAATGTAAGCAGGTATTTTCCTGTTAGTTTGGCTCAAGCTAAGCCCGTCATATCATGTTTATCTGCCGGCTCTCATTTGTGCTCCAATCTCTTACAAGGATGACACGTACAAACCCGTTTGGACAAGCATGCTCTCTCCAAAATAACCTGATCTGTTCTTAGGAATTAATTACTCAAACACTCAACACAGACAGCTCTTCTTATAGTGATACGAACACGGATTTCTTGTTAATGTGTACAAGGTAACCCAAACTTAAGCTTTAATTTTACTTTGATTCAAATCTTAAAAAGTAACCCTAAGCAGGACAATTAACATTTACCCCCATTAAGACCGAGGTGCAGTCCCTCTAAGGCAGCACTGACGTAGACACGGAAGTGATTTTCTTAGAAAAAGGTCCTAATAATGTAAACAATCCACAACCACACACACACACACAGTCTGTCATAAAGACATCTCTATGTCAATCAGCTTCACGTTATTCACCCCTAAACTCCTAACCAGTAATTTTCTCTTAAGTATAAGTCAATGTTGGACTAAAATAGGCAGTGTGTGTGTAATCAGGGGCGCACCTGTGAGGCTGTCAGGTCGATTCATCCTCTCATAAATGTCGTAACTCTGAGGTCCATAGGGGTCAGTGTTGTGAAGCACAGAGCGAGGCAGAGTGGAGCTGTAGTGCTGGGGCACGGCGGTCATGCTAGCCCTGACTGGAGATGAAGAGTGAGTCGGTTGCTTTGTCAGCGGAGGGTTAACACCGTCAACCATCGTCAAGGGAGAGCCCATGCGACCCGACGATGACCCTGCCGACATCTGATACGGCGAGGTGGTTCGGCTGGCGGAGCCGGAGCGAGAGTTTGTGGAGCTGATGCGTCTCAGCCCTGCAGGGGAGTTTTTCTGGGGGGAGTAGGGTGAGCCGCCGATGCTGCAGCTGCGCTGCACAGAGGGCAAGGTTGTGAAGTGGATGTTGGAGATGGGTTTGGGTTCCGCTATGACTGGGGAGCCGTAGGCACTGCCAACAGGGGTACGCAGGGAGCCACGGGAGGGGGAAATACTGCTGGCGTAGGCTGGCGAGTGAGAGCGAGAAGGCACTGAGCTAACCCTTCGCATAGCACGGCCAGGCAGAGCTGCTGTGACTGCTGGAACCTGTAGGTAATAAAGACAAAAAAAAAATTGGAATAGTTCTCTTTAGTTTAAAAGATGGTATGGAGAATATTAATGTATGGTTTTGAACCCTCTGACATACACCAACTTCTACGATGAGAATGACATTTTAAATAACACGGCGTTATATAAGCGGTTTCATCATGAGGGCATGACTTTACTGTAGGCCATGTTTACTTTATCATTCCACCCCCTCCAGAGTGTGACAGCACCATTTGGTTTCTCTGCAGTCACTGTATGCTAAATTGTCTGAAGCATGAATACGATGAGCTGCTTAGTTCACTTTGCACCTTCAGTGCTCTAAGGCAACCTTTCAAAGCAGAAACCAAAAGTTTTGATGGACTGGTTATGAGATTCTAGACATGGAGTAAAAGTAGCACAGCTTCATGGTATTCATGGACATATTAGTCTAAAACAGAAAGCAACACTTATTCTTACTGCTGAAAGGAAAACAGTATATTGATTATTACAGATTCGTTACATAATTTATTCTTTTCTTGACTCTGATTATATAATGAAGTAAAACAAACATCTAACTTGTAAAAATGTTTAAGTAAATAACAATTTTCTGCTGCTGTGCTCTTTAGAGAGTAAAACAAGTAAACATTCTGCAGCCATAATCAGCTGGTTAATTGGTTCATGTACATGCTGGTCATTTGATTTCGGTTTTGAAATAGGAAATCAAAAATCAGAAAAACTACCAGATAAAATAAAAAAACAAAGGACAACAAAAAAAATGACCCCATTTTTGTTTTGAAACCCCAAACAGTGAAACAAAAACAAAAAAAATTGACCTGTTTTGGACATTTGAGTAAAGCTTCCAGGGGGAAATACAGGGCATACAATTTGTCTTTTATTTTATTTTATTTTTTATTATAAAGGGAGTACAATGTAGGCTGCACATTGGAGCAGTTAGTAGCACTGCCGCCTTGAAGCAAGAAGGTTAAGGTTCGATTCCCGGCCTGGGGTCTTTCTGCAAGGAGTTTGCATATTTTCCCTGTGCATTGCCTGGGTTTTCTCTGGGTACTCCGGCTTCCTCCCACAGTCCAACAAAATGACTTTTAAGTTAAATGGCTTCTCCAAATTCTCCTAATGTGAGCATGAATGGTTGTTTGTCCTGTTTGTCTCTGTGTTGCCCTGTGATGGACTGGCAACACTGTCCAGGGTGTACCCCGCCTCTCAACCATTTACAGCTGGAGATAGGTACCAGCTGGGTTAAGAAAATGGATGGTCTGAAAATGGATGGATAGAGTACAATGTACGTTTTACGCATTGCTAGCTAAAAGCCTGATTCTCAATGAAATCCCCAAACTGGCTATATTAACCATAAATACAGTAGTTGTAACTAAAATAAATGGTGCAAAGTCTCTCTGTGCCAGTGTTACTACTGAATCCGTGTCACTACCAAAACAAAATAGAGAGGGGAGGGGGAAGCTGAATCAGGAGGAAAAAAAGTCTAAATTTGTTTTTTAATTTTTGTTTTTCATTTTGGAATTCAAAAAACAGACGGTATTTTTTTGCTACCGATTTGGGATCTGAAAACAAACAAAAATGGGCCTTTTTTAAAATAATTTTATTTGGGGATAAGGAAACGGTTAGTTTTCCAATTTTGGATTTTTCCTTATGAAATCAAAATCCAGTGCCCAGTACATGGACTCGTTATTCCATTACATACCCCTTTTTCCCTGCCTCATTTTAAGGGATCTAAAATAATGTTTTTCTTGTTAAGGTCAAAGATGTAGATTTTTATCGGCCAGCTGACTGGCAGTTTTCAGCAGCGTGTGAAAAAATGGCGTTCACTTCTATTTAGATGGATGGCTCACTAAGGTACTTTATGTAACATCTCAACATGTATTATTAGTTGTATCTGACCTTTGCCTTTTTGGTGCCATTCGTAATTTTTATATCCTATATAGAAGAAAGGTAATTAGATGTAACAAACAGCGTTAGGCTTCAGATACCCCTGATGTCATTACCTGCGATGAAGCTTGTCCCTCAGCCCTGGCATTCCTCATTAATGTGCTGGAGCCAGCTACAGGGAAGGACTGCTGCATCTTGAGGTCAGCCTTGGCCTGGCTCTGCCTGCTGAGGTAACCACTGCTGGCATCCTGATAGCCGCTGTCAGAGTAGGAGTTCATCTGAGCCGAGCCACACGAATTCCCCGCAGACCCTGAGAGAGAAGGTGACAGAAACAGACATAAATGAAATGTAGAGGAAGGAGATAGAAACGAGACAAAAAAACAACAACAAGTAAATACCATAAGAGGTTTCACAACAGCTATGACCTTTACCAGCATGGCTTTTCTAATGGCACAGCACGAAAACAACACCTCTAGCAACTCATGATTTATTGTGCTATAATTTAACCTTTCTAAAATATGCTGAGTGATCAAGTATTATCATCACTCAATACTGCATTAAAGACCAAACCGTAACACCAAAGATTGAGATTTGGAGGACTATGTGCAAAACAAAAAGCGGGCCTTTATTCCTATGTAGCCTCTGCTTTAGCAAATGCTGTTTTCTTCCGTTTGCAGAGCAGGGGTAGCTGGTTAGGACTGTATTAGCATTCAGAAACAAAGACTCTAATTGTAAATGCTTAGAATTCAAATTGGGAATATTCTGCCATCTGTTTACAGTGATGAATACTTTGATTATTTTATCAAACTTTCTTCCCAGAATCCAAAGTATAACAGAAGAATATTCCAAAAAAATGTACTAACTGTGCATAAAAAAAACTGTAGAGACATTTTAAATCATGTTATACCCTGCGATGTTTTAATTGAAGCAGCACAATCCCTGGTTGGACAGTACGGCTAGTTCAATGAAAATACTGAAGAATACCTCATTTCATATATAATTATTCTATAGAAAAGGAGTTCTTGTGAACCGAGAAACGGCCAAAGACCCCTTTCATACTGGTCCAAAACCCATTTAAACGTGGGAACAATCTGATGTTAGTGGCAGCGGAAACGGCTCACTGACACATGTGACCCGCGTTGAAATCGTACCAAAAAACACTGTATTCACTGTCTCTTATCATTACTTCGATTGTGATACAATAAACCTTTAAGTCTATATTACCAATCCCTAGTGAGTGCAGAAAGGAGATCATGTGCAGCAACAGCAGGGTGATACATTTAATTTCCCATCATTCTGAATCTGTATCATTAAAAAAAAAGAACAAGGGAAATAAGGCGACAGGACAAAAGTTTTGCTTCAAAGAGACCATGTAAAGGCTCTACTTAAACATTTGGACCAAGCTGACCTTGCCATTTAAAAATACAAGAAAATATTTAATAAGAAAAATGCACTATTAATGTTTCAGGTCCATGCAGAGGGGGACAAGAAAAGAAAAATGAACAGAAGACTGCAAAAGATAGGCAGAATGTAACAACAGACCCTCACTTTCATGAAGAGAGGACTGCTCCGGGGAGTACAGAGACACCTGCTCCGACTCGGTCCTGATCCGGTAGCTGGGCGACTGGGAGCTGTCAGTCACTCGAGACTTGGCGTCCCCTGAGGCCGAGGTATCTGAGGATGAAGCAGAGCAGAGTCAGACAAACAGAATGGCTCGGATAATTTATTATAGTCATTAAAGCAAACATTTTCAGCTGATAGGAAACAATACAAACAACTGGTGATTTCTGCAACATTAGTTTCACCATTGTGAACTGCTACAGTCGTTTCGTTCAATTTTACTGCCTTACTCATTTAGGAATTTCAAATTGGGTACAAACATTCAGACTCCTCTAAAACTCGCCTCCATCTCCATATCTTTTCTATGGTCATTAAATCAGGTGCTGTACCAGACAGACACTGGAAGTGTTTATGTGCTCAATGTTTTCCGATCATCCCTGTATATTTAGGCATGAAAAGAATCAATGGATTTTTGAGGAATCACTGAAACGAAAGACAGAGGAGAACATCCAGTCAAACAAACGGTGTGTCTGCTATTTGTTCTTGGCTGTGTGAATGAAATCTGAATCATGCGAAGAAGTCATTAGTGATGCGTAAGCTGAACTCCTTAATAAAGCTGTTGACAGCATATAAAGATGGTCGACAGCTTGAAACTTTGCACTTTGCATACAGTCATCTATTTCCCTATTGACAGAAGGGATTAACCTATTAAAGCCCACCTAATTTTGGGTAATGCTCGCTTATTCTGCATACCTAAATGGAAAAATACCTGATGAACTGTAAGCCCAAATTAAAAGTGTGATACATCATTTGAAAGCTACCGCCTTCAAGTTTCGGAAAATATTAAAAAAAAAATATGAAAATGAAAAATGTGACTAAAACACAGCCTAAACTGACTGTGACTAAACAAACATGATTTTTTTTTCTCATTGAAAATAATAGGTCTTTTTTTTTTTCCAACAGCAGTAATAAAGACATGCTTGAGAATAGGCATGTCTCATTGTATTACATTTGTTCTACATCAAGTCAACCACAACTGCAGAAAATTTCAGACCTCGAGCTACAACAGTTCCAGAGCTGTTCTGTTGTAATTTCTCATGCGTTCTGAGTTGTTAGTTGTAAACGCTTTAAAAACGGTCACCGCAATGGGGTGGATTTTAAGAGGTTAAACCAAGCCAGACTAAAAAAGGTTCTTCAACTGAAATGTCAGAATATACAATAGGCATTCCTGCAGATAGAAAGTTAAATCCTGATTGACCTAAGAGTAGCAATCGTACCAATTTTTATCAAATATGGCAACCTTTACTTCTCTTACGCTCTCTTCTTCTAACCCAATAGGTTTTCTTTGGGATTTAGGTGAATAGCTTCAATGTTAATTTCAAAACATGTTTGGGATCATTATCCTATCAAAGCACCCAGTTTGATTTAAAGGTATAGAGGAGGAATTTTACAAATTTAAACTTAAAAAACCACCAGACCTTAATAAAGAGGGCTTCTGACTAACTTTTTGCTCTGATTTTAGGTGGTGCCCTTAACTTTTTTTCTTTGGTGCAACAGCTCAAAAGTTAGGTGTTTTTATAACAATTGTTCGTACAGACAAAATTAACTTATAAATGAGTATCAACCAATCTTTTAAACTAAAAAATATATATTAGGAGCACAATTCTACAAGAAATCAGCTTTCGCACACACAGTGTTTAAATGGCTTTGTAAAGGACGTCTGATCTCTTCCTTTGAGTAGGGGTGAGTATTTGCATTGGTGTTGCGATATGATATGTGTAACAATATTTGAGCAACAATACGATATTATCACGATATTGCAATATATATTGCAATATTTTCCCCAACTATCAAAATTAAATGTATCGATAAAAAAGCAAGTGTTGAAAATGTTCATCAGAAAATTAAATGTATCGATAAAAAAGCAAGTGTTGAAAATGTTCATCAGAAGATATTGATAATTTAGTTATTTTTGGTAACCATGTTGTTTGGGGTATGAGTTGGCCCATGTGTTCCACTGATTGCCTCAACTACAGATATGGCGCTGTGCTGCACAGCAAAAGGACACCACGGTTCTATCTGCCAGGGTGGCGGTAGAGAGGTAGCCTTTTCTCTCATTGTTTTAGGTAAAAACATTTTTTTATTTTTTTTTATCGATATTAGGAACCGAAAAATCCAAATTGTATTGGGAACCCGAAAATCACGACATAACGCATAATCGACTTTTTTCCCCACGCCCCTGCTTTTGAGTAACAAAGTTTTGGTGGATGGCAGAGGAATTATTTACATCAACATACATTATCATGAAACTAAATAACAAAATTATTGATATGATGATTTTTTTTCTTTTTTATTGGAGCAGATTTTTGATGGCTGACCCTTCTGGTTAATGTTTCCCAGCCAAACTCACCAGGGTTTAGCACTTAACTCCCCAATGTGTCCTTCGCACTTTCCAATTTTTGCAAAACTGTCTGCACAGCTGGAGCATCCATTTACTCAACATAAAATAACCCTACCAGCTTTCTAAAAAACAAATATAATAAATTCTTCACTTGGGCATTCCTAACCAATGGTGGTTAGCTACAGAGGGCTCATACACATTACATCACTCAGGAACTATTTGCTGAAGTTTACTCTCTTGCCTTCAGTCTAAGCAGCATTTTACAGGAGAGAAACCTTTTTCTAACATACAGTTTCAGGGTCACAGAGACTTTCCCCCCTTTGATAGGCTTAGGTTTGACCTAAGATTATTTTCAGTCACACTATGGAGAAACTAGGCCAGACTTTAGAGTCCTGATAAATGTCTATTTTTTTTTTTTATAGGTCCATGAAGCCGCTCACTCCAACAAGGTATCCAGGACATTTGGAAGAGTAACAACCTCACAGACAACTCCATATCTTTATGTTTGTGAAGATTGGACAAAAAAAGCCTTATTGAGGCAGGTGAAGCTGAGATCTAAGGGTTACACTTAGATCTAACTCCTACACTAAGCTTTAGAGACTAATGTACCGCACCATCTTACTCACTGGGCATATTTTCAAAGCCTGCATGTATTTTTACATGTCTTTACCAGGGGTGCCAATATAAATATATGGTAAACACTGTGTCTTGACCATGTTTATTTAAGATGAAGCCAAATGGAGCAGAAGAGGAACAGGAAGAGGGACAGACGGTTACCACAGAGGGGGCCTAAAAGCATTGTCAGAATCTGAAGTTAATGTATGTCAGGGGATTTAGGTTTCCATTTTAGGACTGCCAAATTTAACAGCTTCCTGTTTATATATTTCATTCCTGAAAGAAGCAAAGGGTGTGCTGTTGGAATTGTTCGAAGATGTCATTTAATATATCTACATATCAACAAGTACATCCTGATCTTTTTTAAGTTGTAAAATAATCTACAGTCCATAATGCTTTAAAACTAGTGGGAATTATTATCAGATTTATTAGATATTTTGTCATTTGAACAGAAATGCTTATTTAAAGAGATATAAATCAATCAACATAACTTAAATATAACTAAAAACTAAAAGTGATGGGATCTCAGAGAACGCGTTAAATAACAGCCAAGGATCTAGAAAAATAAAAGTAAGTTCACTAGTATTAAACATTAGATTCTTTTTTTTGTAATTTATCATAAAATAACAGATTGTCAAAGTTTGATTTGATAAATTTTATTACTTCTAGGTATTGCATAATCCGTGCATATCCCAATGATTAGTTTTTGTTCACCAGCTTTTTCCTTCATTTAATAACAAATCGGTGGAGAATTTTTGTACAATTAGGTTTGATTTTAATAATTTTAGGCTTTTACAAATTTCAAATTAAGTATTATGTGTGGGGGAAGGGGGTTATGCTTAAATCATACGAATTCAGGACTATATATCTTTTAAAGATAAGCAATACTTTTCTAGACATTTAAATGTTTTCCCTTTGTTCAGTTTTGTGCTGTCACCTCTGAAAGTCATGGGTTTGATTCCAACTGGATATGACTCTTAACCCAAAGTTGGCCAGTTCTGCATCAATATTTTATCAAAAGCACTTTTTAAGAACTTGATACTGCCTTATATACATTAAAAAATCCCATCATTGTACAATTTTGTTGCTATTCCTAATAAAAAAAGTGTTGTTTTCTGGCAAAACAAAATGAGGCCCCAATAATTTATTCATATACCAGTGCAATGGCCACTGCAGAGCCTGACACAGATGCAAAGCTTGATTCTGTGCTTGTTTTCCTCTGCTCTCAGTGGACATTAGGTGTGGCTGCATTGACATAACCAGAGGCAAGAAGACTTTCTGCAGTATCACTTCTGTCACAGGAGGAGCATCCACTGGCTCATGGAATCAGCCGGAAGCAGAGAGAGGGACTCTAAACCTCCCAGCTAAATCTAAAGTACTAAAATCTGAAAGTACCGGTACATCTACACCTGTATCTGTCATTTATCATCTGCATCATGATTATCACTCATAAGTAACACAATCATGAGTAATTCTAATTTATCCGGCATGCTGTTCTAACACTGATGAAATGTTTGTAGTGAGGAAATGGAAAGCAGACAGCAAATGTAGTATTAATATTCCCACTGCATATGTACAACAATAACCCCCCACAGGCTCCTCTGACAGAATCGACAATCAAGGATTAATGACTACAACAAAACTCTGCTTTGTGCTATGTAATTAATAGGCCATTAAAGACATTAGTGGATGTAATTTTCAATATGTGTTCTCTGCAAAAGATATGATAAAATAGAGGAAAATCTTTCCACAACGTATTACTGATTGTTTTCTTTAGAACAAAAACAGCTTCAATATCTATAAAAGCAAGAACAGGCTTGGGGCTGTCAACCGCCCTGCTGAAAAACTGAGCATTAGTAAAACATGACAGATATGCAATCCACATATCACACTAACAATGTAAACAATGTCTTATTTAGAACAGAGCTACAGAGCAGATGTGCGTTAATATCAGTAAGTTATAGAACACCGACTCAAGTTAAGAATTCATTTTTCCCTTATTCTTATTATGGCTCCTTCACAGATTGTAATGTTACAATTGAATTAATAATCTGAAACTGAGGTGGGATTTTAAACCCTTTCTAAAACAGTCGTGGTTCATGGTGCAGTCATCGCCAACATACCTGCATTTCTCCATGGTAGGGATTTGTCAGATGAGCTGTAGAGGAGAAACAGGGAAGACAAAAAGTGAATAAATACATTTATGCCCCCCCCAAAAAATGGATATCATATATTATCATGACCATCTTATATCCATGATAAATTATAGATAAAAGATGGTCATTTTCAAAAAACATTTATTGAAATAATCGTCAACTAATTTAGTAATCGAATAATCATAAACTGGATTATAGGGACACTAAAACATGTCTTTATCCAAGAGATAAACCCACTTAGAGCAGTAATTATAACAAAATCGTAATACAAATATATAAACTTTTGCATTAAACTTTTTTGTCGATTAATATGCTTTATTCAGAACTCCTCAAGTAAAAAAGTTTTAGATTCAACTGGTTTAGATTATGTGAAAAAAAAATCATCTAGAAGGAACCTTTTTCTATCAGATTATTAATAAAAAAAAGAAAATCAACCAATTTATTGATGAAAAAAATAATCATTAGTTGCAACCTTATTCTGCTTTTCTGTTCCAAATTGTTTTGTTTTACAAATGCTTTTGCTTTTTATACTGCTTTTATTTTTCTTCTATTTTATCATCTAATTTATGTAAAGCACGTTGAATGTACTGAATTGCACTATACAAATAAAATTGCCTTGCATTGGAATGTAAACCTTTTTTGTAACTATTGTATTTTCTTCCGGGGTCACTTCTCTTGGCCCCATTTAATAAATCAACGAAGCCATCATAAAGTGTCCCTGCAGCTTGGTGCTGGTTTTACTATGAACTGTCCCTGCATACTGTGATCTTTGGTCTTATTCTTTTTCTTCAATAATATTATCTTACAAACCTCTGAATCCTTTATAGAAAAGCTGCATTTATGCTGAGATCAAATAACACCCAACACTGCTGCACTTACTAAGTAGATGAGTTCAAACGGCAGTTAGTTGCATTTGTCTAAGGGCATTACAGTAAAATTGGGAGCATATAAAAGCACACATCATCTTAGTCTGTCAGATAGAAGAAATGTAATTTATTCAATGTAACAAGAAGAAGCCAGGCATGATACCAGATTATAAACCATCTGATCATACTAATAAAATCTCTTTCTGACCAACACAATGTTGAATTGCTAGTCGTTAACCCAGAGGGCACGTAGTAGACCTTAGAGCAGTGTAATAGTTATTTCTGCTGATCATTAATATCAAGCATCGAATGCTGCTGGTGCTGGTATCTGTTCTTACGTCCTACAAGGTGACACCAGATGAGAATTAGTAATAGAAGCTCTTAGCATTTTAATGAGGATGCTGCCAATTAAAGAAAGTAAGTTGGGAAAGCTGAGGTCCACTGAAGCGCAGCAGATGGATAATAGAATAGCTAAGATTATTATTATCACTATGGCGATGTGTCTGCATGCTGAAAGTTCACTACAGACATAGACAGGCACTGCTGTTAAAAGGAAAACTGTCAGAACAGAGTTTTGCTGTCTTATAAACACATAATTTCCCATAAAACACGCCCCCCCCCTCCCTTTATACACATATGCAGATGCAAACAACAATAAAAGACTCTAGAATCGCAGTTCAGAAGCTATTCAGTTTATTATGGATTTAATCCTCTACAGTGTTTGTGGAGAAAGTCTCATTGTCAGTCTAAAGAAACAGCTCTGGGTTAATTGTTTTTTTACTCTACTCTTCCATCTTTACTTTTGCGTCAACATCACTGCACCCTCACTGGTGTGGAATAGGTATAACAGGTCTGCAGCCCCTCTGGCTTTGTCCAGTTTAATTACACCTAAACACATGAAATTATTCATCATAGCCTTCAAGACTACATTCAAAAAAAGTTGAATAAAGTATCTGCACAGAAAATCTTTAGTGTAAATAATGAAACAGGCTGAAGCTGGGGGAGCCTTAACAGGCCTTGTAACACTAAAGCCTCACCAGTTGGTGTTGTGTTAAAGAGAGTAAAATGCAGTTGGTGTAAAATCTACAATTAATTCAATAGCTTCTAAAGCAGAACGTCATGTGTAAAGTCTGCCAATGCTTTTATTTGTGTTGGTGCACGCCTGTTAACCCTTTATAGGGCACTCAGTGAAATAGTTTGAAAATCAGAATTTCAAGCCAATAGTGTCACTGGAATCCATGACAAGACTTAGACAGATTTTTCATTTTGTTTACACAAGAGTAAAACATAAAGAAATTTCGTTTGGAACAGCTCTCTGGACCATTTCATCTTTTTTAAAAATGCAGCCTTGAAAAAGCGGCATATTAAATGAACCAATCGAAACTGTAGAGAGGAGCCGTTCTTGGCCGCTGCTTTGGAGCGCCACCATGGCAAAGTTTTGCATTTGTGAAGACCTTATAACCTTTGTAACATAAAAAAAATGGCATATTTCAATGGCAAAAATTTATGTCAGTGTAATAACAAGAGACCCCAACTTGCCCAAATATATAAAAAAAAAATTACAACGATGTATAGCCATGTAGCAGTATCTTTACTGAATGGCTGGATATAAATCTTGATTTATATATAAATTGTGATCAAAAACAGTAACTTGCCCTATAAAGGTGGTGAGCCTGCATTGGCAAACATGGCAGTTTGTAGCGGGGTATGAGGACAGGGTTATAATGACGGAGACGATGCGGGGAATGGCTGCAAACTTCCACTCTGGGAGCAAATTTCAAATGATCCAACAAAGAAGCTTGTTGGTATATTGGCCTCTGGATGAGGCCTATGAGCCCCGTCTCCTCTGCTGTTATCCTGCTGAGCTCTTTCAGCCGCTCATTGTGACCACTAGCTTTAAAACTGAGCTCAATTCAGGTACAAATATTCTGTAATTAGCATTTCATTTATCCCGCTCTAGTTTTAACAAAAGACCGGGTAACTGGTGCTGCAGGTTTTTCATAGGATCCTATGGTTTGAGGATAAACACCAGCCATTACATCTGGGTGAATGTGCTTTTAAAAGCTGAACTCTAAAATTTATTTACAGGTAAAACTGCAAATATATATATATATATACATATATATATATATATATATATATATATATATATATATATATATATATATATATATATATATATATATATATATATATATATATATATATATATATATATATATATATATATATATTTAGACTGGGACATTTACTATTTAATTACTGTTTACATATAAAGTAAGCATGTAAGAAACCAAAAACACACCCCAAACAAATAGTGGATATGTTTGCACCAAAATAAACATCTGGGCAAATATCAATATTAAAATGCTGTTATGACTGATGCCCATATTTACTGGTATCAACCTTATTTGCTGGCTTTCTGGTATTTACTGATAATAATAAAGGGTGGTTCTCCGACACTCCAACAACCAAAACACAAGCTCTACCTGCAAAAACATAGCAATAAATATTTGTTGCTAATAGCGGCCCGGTTTTACTAATTGGAAGGCTATTAAACCTGACTATCATTTGCCAATAACAATTGTATAGCTAATATTTCATCTCTAATAATTAGCCTTATTTAGAGAGATACTGCAACAAAAGAAATCTAAAAGAAATACTGTTTTGCTCAAAGGGGACCAACCAAAATAGGATGGTATTGGAATAAGATTGTGCTATCAAACATTACATTTAAGCTTTGCTTCTTTTTGCTTTAGTAAAAAATTTTATAAAACAAACAAAACAAACAGAAAATTTATATTTTAGGCACATTTTTCCTGCTTACAGTGTTTAAGCAAAAAAAAAAAAAAATCTTAAAAGCGTACTGCTGATGGGGACATTTTAAGCTGCTTACCTCTACAATGAGGAGGATTTTAAACTGACTGCAGCATGCTTGTGATGTTATAAGAAAACAGCAACTATGTGAACTGTAGTCCTTCCCCCCTTAATTAGCTGAACGCCTTCAGAGGCACAGCAAATATCACATCCATAGTGTCTTAGACAATATGGCATAACATTTGTAATTAAAGGAGTGGAAAAAAAATGCTCAAACAAATAACGTGTATCCAAATCAACCAGTGTGCTTATGAACATCAAAAACATCCTTTCTGCATTCTACTTCAAAACAAAGCTCAGAATTAGCCCAAATATGAATGGTGTGAATGGGTTCTTTAAACCCGACACCTGAAATAAGACAGAAACCTCTGAAACAGAAAGTCAAAATATAGGTCCTGAAACCTGCTGTAAAGAATTAAAGTTCAGACCTAAATAAAAGCCCCTGTATACCTTCGCTGCCAATGAAAATGAAGGGGAAATGGACACTCTGGTTGCAGGCTACAGGTATGCAGAATGCAGAGCAATAATAACTCTGGACTGTCTAAGGCCAACGGGGTTATTATCACAAAGATAGAAAATATCACACAAAGCCATTAACATCATGTATCCAGGTTTAGCCCAACAGTGTTACCGTCCTTTATAGAGCTGACATAACTCACAAACTCCATACAGTACTAAGAACCAAAAACAAACAAACAAACAAAAAAAAAAAAGTTGGACTATTTAGGGTACTTCCACTGCGCTGCTACAGGTCAGACAACAAGAAAAAAGAATCAGAGCGAAACAAAGCAGGTCTGCACATAGATACACACATGTTTGACTGTGCAGAGCAGATTTCTGCGTTTCAGTTCAGCAGACAGTGTCTTAACCTATTTTTTGCATGGCCTTCACCAGTATGCCGATCATATTTTAATGATCAAACTGTCTAATGGGTAAAGGATATGCAAAAGTAAACATTTACCACATATACAGTGATTTTCCAAAGTGGAACTCAACATGTCCGCAGTTTTAGCGTCTTTCTTAATACTTCTAAAAATGAGGTGCAGATTGACATGAAACAATATCTGAGGTCATTTGCTGTTAAAAAGAAGACATTGGTACAATGACCTTTAGGCTCCGTCCACACGAAGCCAAACCCTGGCCTAAACGCACAAATTTTTAACCAAACCAGCCTCTCATCCATACGAAGCCGCCGTTTCGGGGGTCTGTAAACGATCTTTTTTTTTATTAAGCCTTCAGAGTGGGAAGATTTTGAAACGCTGTTTTCGCGTTTCCATCTTTAAGCTCTAACCGCTTTTTTTTTCTTACACGCATGCGTCATAGCGTAGCCTCTAAACACGCATGCGCGACACAGTATCACAACAACAATGGCGCCGTACTGTGTTGAATGGTTGCTGCTCATGCTACTCAACCTGCTGTCGGGCTTACAACAGAATCTTCTTCTTCTGGAATATCTCCAGGAAGAACAGAGCAATATCGACGACATAGTTCAGCACCTGAATTTGACTTAACCACGAAAATGGACCCGCAGGGCAACCATGTATAAATATTAGTGCGCATGCCCAACATTTCGTCGTCTATTTTTGCTTTGGCACCACAGCGCCACTTACAGGCCTGGCATACATTTTGCAGCGTTTTTATGCATTCGTGTGGACGATCACATTTATTTTACATCTCCGTCTTTACGACAAACGTTCTGGAAAATATTAGCGTTTCGGGTTCGTTTTGACTTTGTGTGGACGGGGCCTAAGATTCCTGATGGGGAGGTGGTGGTGAGAGGCTAATCACCCCTGTATACTACCCAATTACTCTGCCCAATCCAAAAAACTCTTGCAAAAGAAACGCAAACGAACCCAAAAAATCCGGCCAAGTGGAAATTTATAAGCGCTACAGTTTAGACGTATATTGATGTGTATCACGGTCTGCAACAAATATATCTTCGCTTCGTCCATTGGGACCATTGTTTATACACTTGGTCATACAGAGGAGTGGAAAAAAATTTTTTTTCAGAGGTACCAATTTTCTAATTGCTTTAGATAGTTTTTGTTTGCATTGTAATCCACAATTTTGATCAATCATTTATTCCTGGGGAAGAAAGTCTGGGTGGCTTTTGAAGGTTTCTGATTGGCTGACAAGTTTTAGTTTTACAGGACACTGCCAATAATCCATCTAAATTGTTGAGGATGAAAACTTCCTACCTCACTGTGTACACATATTTGCTGGGGTTTTTTTTTAACCTTGCTACATGCGGACTAGGCCTTATTTTGATAAGGAAAAAATAGTGGGTACAAGTTAATGCAGTTGGACGGCAGACAATCAACATATATTAAACTGAAAATGGAAAAATAAATGTTGAGAATAAATAATGTGACATTTTTTTATTAAAAAAAGGAGATATCAAAGAACCTCCAAAGGAACATGTTGAGAGGTGGTTAAAAGAACGCATCTCTTGGTCGTTGTAACAAGAGTTTTTGTTCTCCCTCGGTTTAATTTAACATAACTTAATCACACTGCTATTTGAAAACGGCAAGAAAAAAATCCATTACTTGTTCTCATGTGCTAAAATAGCCGAGCTCTGATGTGAATCCCAACTCAGAATCCGTGGAAGACTTGAATTCTGCAACTGACAGACTTCCCAGGGCTTAGGCTATTTTGAAAAGCGAATACAAAAAGGATGTGCTGAATAAATATGCCAGCAAACAATTTTCTGCTTCCTATTGGTAAAAATATTGAAAAACAGGGAATAATTCTCCCTCCACTACAAAAACATTCAAAAAAGGTGTTGGTCTGTTTCATAAATTACATATAAAAACCACATTAAAGTTGATCTTACATTGACAAAACGCAAAACAGTTTAGGCAATGAGATTCATATTGTGTTATTTGTTTTTAAAAGAAAAATTGACTAAAATAACAAGAAAAGTTCAATATATTTGTGCTTCCTATTATTAAGATAGTATAATATTTCCTTAAAAAAGCATAAAATGACGGCATTTTCTATCAGTTTATAATTAAGTACATTTTAAATTGATGCAAGACTGCTATGAAATGTCCACTATATTAAAGTAAAGTACATAAAAATTTAATCTAATCAGGATTCCTTTACACCATAAGGTTCCACACATTTATAGATTGTGGTCACTGCTGTGAAGGAAGGAGAAGCCATGTGTCGTGTTTGTGGATCTTCTCATTACCTGCTGCTACCAGCGCCTGGCGACTCGGCCCCAAGTCTGCATCTTTCCAGCTGATTGGCCACAATCTGCCTCTCCACTTCCAGCTCCCTGGTTAGCCGCTCAAACTGAAGCTCCTGCGCGTAAACACAATAAAAACAAACACATGACTCAAGGCTGAATTAATGCACACTGAGAGCTTTTTACAGCTCTATGGACAGATACGACAAATGGGGCGGGAAAGTAAAGGCAACAGATTGGCAGGTAACAGCTTGTGTTCTAGTTTATAGGTTCTAGATGCAACAATGTGTCTCAGAAGAAATAACCCAGTATAAAGTTTCTTCACAGAGAGCTTAAAAGGAGGCAGCACCATGTCTGTATGCATACCCAACCCCTGGTTTATAAACTTCAACAGGCTTTCATATGGCTTATACGTTAATGCCATTTTTTGCAGCCCACACAGAGAGATAAGGACCACTTTAGTGGCTGATATTTAGCCTTCATGAAACTGTTCCTATGAGAGTTGGGAAGGAATCAGCATTTGACTAATTACCTACCATGAGCAAGGCCATTACTTACATAGTTCTCTAGCTTCAAGCACTGCATCATGACACTCATAAGACCCACAAGGTCTTCTGTACACAGAAAAATGATGGCACACACTTATTTGCATATATTTGAGACAGTTTTATTTAAATAGAAGAGCTTCTTAGGCAGACTGGAAAGTATTTTTCCCTTAAAAAAAAAAACAAAAAAAGACCTCACTCACCATATGTCACTGCACAGATGGAACGCCTCTCTGCTTGCTATCCTTAGCTGTCCCATGTAATGACCATTACAGCGGTCAATTACATTCACAGTAGAACGCCTTCACAAACAGACTCTGGCTTTCTGCAGCCTGTGTGAACTGTCCCAGGATGTTAAGTCACCCTGCATTACAATGACCATCCTACATTTCACACCTCTGCTGTGTGTCCCCCCCCCCCCCTGGGGTACACAACAAGTTCCTCCTCTACATTGTAGACCTCTTACCCCTCCCCCCCAACTACCACTTTATGCTGCTCACCTCTTCTCTGCTGTGCTTCAGCTAAAGGCTGATTTAAGGATACATGAAGCTTGACTGCAGTAAGAGGGAGCTTACAGGAAGAAAAGCTGCTACACCCTGTTTCCTTAATGTAAAGGAACTCTTGAAGTGGATTGGATTCAGAAAAAGTCCTGCTAAAGTGTTCATGTTATTTCTATTTTTACACATTTTGTCACATTACAACTGCAAACTTTCATTTAGTGAGATTTTAGTGATGCATCATGCTTTTTGCATAGATTCATGGGCTAAAGTAATGCTTTTATATCGTTTTTGTCCAAAGTAGAACATCTAGAAACAAGTCAGATTGACAAGATGGCATCTGTTAACATACAGGTGCTGGTCATAAAATTAGAATATCATGAAAAAGTAGATTGATTTCAGTAATTCCATTTAAAAAGTGAAACTTGTATATTATATTCATACATTACATACAAACTCATATATTTCAGATGTTTATTTTGTTTAATTTTGATGATTACAAATGACAACAAATGAAAATCTCAAATTCATCATATCAGAAAATTAGAATATTGTGAAAAGGTTCAAAATTGATGGCCCCTGGTGCCACACTCTAATCAGCTAATTAACTCAAACCACCTGCAAAAGCCTTTAAATGGTCTTTCAGTCTAGTTCTATAGGCTACACAATCATGGGGAAGACTGCTGACTTGACAGTTGTCCAAAAGACGACCATCGACACCTTGCACAAGGAGGGCAAGACACAAAAGGTCATCGCTAAAGAGGCTGGCTGTTCACAGAGCTCAGTGTCCAAGCACATTAATAGAGAGGCGAAGGGAAGGAAAAGATGTGGTCGAAAAAAGTGTACAAGCAAGAGAGATAACCGCACCCTGGAGAGGATTGTGAAACAAAACCCATTCAAAAATGTGGGGGAGATTCACAAAGAGTGGACTGCAGCTGGAGTGAGTGCTTCAAGAACCACCACACACAGACGTATGAAAGACATGGGTTTCTGCTGTCGCATTCCTTGTGTCAAGCCACTCTTGAACCACAGACAGCGTCAGAAGCGTCTTGCCTGGGCTAAAGAGAAACAGGACTGGACTGCTGGTGAGTGGTCCAAAGTCATGTTCTCTGATTAAAGTAAATTTTGCATTTCCTTTGGAAATCAAGGTCCCAGAGTCTGGAGGAAAAGAAGAGAGGCACTTCATCCACGTTGCTTGAAGTCCAGTGTAAAGTTTCCACAGTCAGTGATGGTTTGGGGTGCCATGTCATCTGCTGGTGTTGGTCCATTGTGTTTTCTGAGGTCCAGGGTCAACGCAGCCACATACCAGGAAGTTTTAGAGCACTTCATGCTTCCTGCAGCTGACCAACTTTTTGGAGATGCAGATTTCATTTTCCAACAGGACTTGGCACCTGCACACAGTGCCAAAGCTACCAGTACCTGGTTGAAGGACCATGGTATCCCTGTTCTTAATTGGCCAGCAAACTCTCCTGACCTTAACCCCATAGAAAATCTATGGGGTATTGTGAAGAAGAAGATGCAATACACCAGACCCAACAATTCAGAAGAGCTAAAAGCCACTATTAGAGCAACCTGGGCTATCATAACACCTGAGCAGTGCCACAGACTGATCGACTCCATGCCACGCCGCATTGCTGCAGTAATACAGGCCAAAGGAGGCCCAACTAAATACTGAGTGCTGTACATGCTCATACTTTTCATGTTCATACTTTTCAGTTGGCCAACATTTCTATAAATCCTTTGTTTTTATTGGTCTTCAGTAATATTCTAATTTTCTGATATGATGAATTTGAGATTTTCATTTGTTGTCATTTGTAATCATCAAAATTAAACAAAATAAACATCTGAAATATATGAGTTTGTATGTAATGTATGAATATAATATACAAGTTTCACTTTTTAAATGGAATTACTGAAATCAATCTACTTTTTCATGATATTCTAATTTTATGACCAGCACCTGTATATTTTGTCTTGTCACAGATTCTTACTATGAAAGAGGATTAGGGCCACTGGAAAAAAAAAAGTTAACTGATTTTTAAATTTTATTTAAGTTTAATATGGGGAAAAGTCAGAATTCTGAAATAAAATTTAAAAATCAGTTAACTTTTTTCTTTTTCAGTGGCCCTAATCCTCTTCCATATCTTACACCCCTTTTCACTGCAAAAAAATAATAATTTTAACTTGGGAACAACCAGTTTTAGGCCCCGTCCACACGAAGACGAACCCTGGCCTAAACGCACAAATTTTTCACCAAACCAGCCTCTCATCCACACGAAGCCGGCGTTTCGGGGGTCTGTAAACGATCATTTTTTTATTCAGCCTTCAGAGTGGGAAGATTCTGAAACGCCGTTTTCGCGTTTCCATCTTTACGCCCTAACCGCATATTTTTTTTTACACGCATGCGTCATAGCGTCGCCTCTACACACGCATGCGCGACTAGTATCACAACAACAATGGCGCCGTTGCTAATGCTACTCAGCCTGCTGTCGGGCTTACAACAGAATCTTCTTCTTCTGGAATATCTCCAGGAAGAACAGAGCAATATCGACGACATAGTTCAGCACCTGAATTTCACTTAACCACGAAAATGGACCCGCAGGGCAACCATGTATAAATATTAGTGCACATGCCCAACATTTCGTCGCTTATTTTTGCTTTGGCACCACAGCGCCACTTACAGGCCTGGCATACATTTTGCAGCGTTTTCATGCATTCGTGTGGACGCTCACATTTATTTTACGTCTCCGTCTTTACGGCAAACGTTTTGGAAAATATCAGCGTTTCGTCTTCGTTTTGACTTCGTGTGGACGGGGCCTTAGTGGGAATGGGAACCGCTCACTGACCCTTAACGACCTGGATTAAAATCGCCTTCAAACGGCTCAGCTCCAATCGTCATACAGTGGGAACATCAGACCAAAGTCGTAAAAAGCCACTTATTTACAGAATGTTAATAAGTGTACAAAAGGTAAACTTGTTTGTAAAATTATATTTATATTATATTGTTTTTTATAAAGTGTTTTTATAATGTTTTTTTGTTGTTTTTGGCATTCATATGGATATACTAGTGTGATAAGTTAGTATTCGTTTGATTGGTTTTCGGTATATGTCTATTTTGAATTTATAGCCCCCACTGGAGAAAACTCCACCAGCCGCCACTGATTCCCAGTGAGGCTGGTCCATGCTTAGTGTAATGTGTACATTCAGTTGCCAAAAAGCTGCTGAACAAGCGTTTTACAGGTAGAGCCAAAGAACGAAATCTTCATCCCACCTGACCAGAGCAAATCCTCGACACGCTGCTTCTCTTGCCTTCGTTGCTTATTGCCAATAGAAGACAAACTTCTCTCGCATTTTTGTATAACAGTAGTTTTCCTCTTGTCATTGGAGATTGTTTAAAATGGCTCTCCTTTTTCAGACCCGTCTGATTTGTTCTTTGGTGTTCGTAAGGATTTTTGTTCAACATGTTCTCTGGAAAAATATCTGAGGCCTACACAGACTAACTGGATTCATACTGTGATGAAATTACACACAGGAGGTCACTTTTTCATTTAGGGGGCTAAGAGCAAAATAATTTAATGCACTGACACTAAATGACACACTCAGACCACATTTTCTTACTACTCAACTTTAGCACGCAGTTGGTTTCTCAAGATTGCATTTAGGTGTTACAGAGTAGAAGAGGTAAGTACATGTTCTTGACAAATATTTTATACTCTCATCTTTAAAATAAATGTCTAAACCAAGCAACATTTTCCCTCCCCCTTACAGCGATGTTCTGCTTTATGGTACACTTAAAACAAATAACACGAAAATGTGGAAAGTTGGACCACACAAGGTAGCAATAATCAAACATACAGAGGTAAGGAGACCAAAATTAAACACATACTGCATGACCAAAGACAGAGACCTAAGACTGTCCGTTCCTTCAAATGTCACTATTCTTAGGTCTGCCACCTCTATGCCGTCTTTCTTCTAAGCCTATAATCCAATTGGCTGTTTGGCAAAACATCAGCCGCTCACATCTAGTCACTTTGAAATGGATTTGAACATTCTATATGGTCTCTACCAGCAAAA